CCCGATCGATATATCCGAATTACGACCGCTGAACGACATCAGCAAACATGTTCAGTTCTCTAGGGACAAAGATAGCCCTCCGAAAAGCCGGACTGGGCGGTGTATCGCTACCAAAAACCGACGGCTTGTTTGGGAATGGCAACACGAAGAAAGGGAACACAAATGGCGCCGAGGGAGGAGACACAGGTTTCGCCAACCCATTCGCAAACGTACAATGGGGTGTACCAAAAGCCCTACAATCTTGGACGACACCTCCACCACCGCAGAACCCGGTGCGCAAGCCACCAAACATAGGAGACCGCGCACAAAGCCATCCCAAGTTACAATTTCCTACAGCCGATGGGCGGCCGACTATACTGCTGTTCCTGAGGTTTTGCGGATGTCCTTGTGAGTAATCATCATCCCAGAGGCTGTATTCGGATGCAACAGTAGAAGTTAGACATTTGCTAATAGCTGCAACAGTCTCAGAGAAACTCTTCCTCACGCTCCGAACCCTTGCGAACAAGCACACTTCCATCCACTTCGTCGCAATATCGCACTGCACACCTGCTGCAACTACAGAATGGGTCAAAAAACTCGGCGGGGCCTGGAATGTAGACGTAATAGTAGACCAAGACCGGGAACTATACGCGCTATGGGGTCTAGGCATAGCGACTTGGGGTCATGTTCTGCATCCCAGGAATGGCTACAACCAGGTCATGCTCAGGAAGAATGAGGGGGTCTGGGGCCAACTGGTTGGAGAAGGCGCATGCAGATGGCAGGTTGGAGGCTCATATTCGGTGGACGGGAGGGGTGTGGTGACATGGGGTGGACCGATGCAATCAGCAGACGAGGCGATACCATTCGAACACGGCGTAATGTCTCTTGGATATGGAGAAACGAGGATATAATGCCAAGGCACATATCGCAATTGGGGACCTCTTAGATGAGTACTCAGGCTGTCTGGATTCTACATGAGGGCATAATCGATTCATGTGAACGCTCATGCAGATGCGAATGGTCTGTATCTTTCTTGTATAGTACTTGCCGGCTTCGGCTTGGCTCTTCCAGAAGAAAAGCCTACTGTCAACAATGAAATAGTGACATACTTGGGCAAACATCTCAGAGTTGACATGACTACAAAATCAGCTGCGGTTTGTTGGACAGAATTTGTTATCGGACTCTACTGAAGGCCATGACTGCTGCGCCTGAAGAAAGCGTCTCGGAACAGCTTCAAAATTGCCAACTCATCGCCGCGTTGCGAGCTGAAGCGATTCGTGAGTAATGAATGGCCTATTATGCGAAGTAAACATAAACGGAACAGGACAGTTGACGTCTACACAGGACACATTACTGCCATATTCAGCCACGACTATCCCAATTACCACCATTTCGAAGTCCTGACTGGTGCAAAGACCATTGTCGACGATCAGGGCGAAATACGGGCTATTTACTGTACAAGAGCGCTGGTGTACCTAGATTCTGGTTGCAGCAAATGGCATCTGGTTGCTGAAGGTGAAAAGAGTTGTTACACACCCCTGAAGGCGATGGAGAACTTCCTCGGTGGGGCCATGGTCAGACTTGAGGAGGTAATAGGTAAGTTGTTGCCATACATCTAAACCATTGCGATACCTAATGGAGTGAACTAACTTCCACGTAGCTGAGCGAGAGGGAGGTACTATTCGGGAGTATACTGAAAGGGAGTATAGTCCAGACTCGGATGAATATTATGATCAAGCAAACGATGATTGGTAGAGACGAGGACATAAATCGTAGTAACGTTCTCGTTGTTATTTGCTGCGGATGTATCTTCAGTCGTGATAACTAGCACCCTTCGCTGCATATAAGAGCCTATGATATATATCCCTCATGCGTGATCCCCAGGTGTTGGGTGTATGGGATCTGGCGTAGTTATCCTGTCAATGTGGGGTTCATACTAGCGTGGTGCAACAACGGCGCCTTCGGGGCAGTTGCGTCCTCACCTTTCATCACCACACCGCAACTTCGTACAGTCTGACTGCACCAGCTCATCAAACATGAGATACGAGTACTCGATTTTGAAAAATGGCGCTGCAGAAGGGCGTGATACGCTACACCGGAGAGACTTGACGACCTGTGGGTTCCCTGGACATTTCCTCCCCTTCACGGGCGCTATCCACGGGTTGTCATAACCACAGCGCTCTCATACAGACCATACAGTAAAGCAAAGACATGATACTAAGTAGATTATGGACTCGCCGAGGGCTGAGCTTGTTGGGTTCAATCCGGGAACTTTCTCGGAGACATTCCGTCATTGCACCTCTGGTATTGATCGGGGACTTTACCTAAGATACCACAATTCCTTCCTTGTATAGTTCCGAACAATCTGTACCTTTATGGTGAGTATGCTGACCAACGAGCTTGCATCGGAGCTTTATGCCGCGGAGCTGGTGTTCGTGGTGTATAAAGCAGGCAAGTTCGACTGATCTCAAACACAACACCCACCGCAAGCTCACATCGTCTTTCACAGTCATACCCAGATACTAAGGACACCCCCTCTCCCTATAAATTTACCTCCACAGCCACATATTGAAGCCTCGTCAAGATGGCGCTCCGATCTCGACCCCAGATATTCGACGTACTCATCATCGGCTCAGGTCCCGCAGGACTTAATGCGGCGCTCACTTGTGCAAGAACACGCGCCAAAGCCATCGTATTCGACAACCAACAGTATCGCAACGAAGGTGTCATGCACATGCATACTGTAGCGTCCCGCGATCACTTCAATCCCAGAGAGTTTGGCCGCATCGCCCGCGAACAGATCGAATCCCGATACGATAGCGTCTGGTTTCAATCTGCTACCATAACCCACGCATCAAAGAAACAACTGTGGTTGCCAGATGAGAAGGACTCGTACGACGGCTTCGAAGTCAAAGACAGCAAAGGCCACTCATACGAGGGCAAGAAGGTCATCCTAGCAACAGGCTCGAAAGACATCCTTCCCGATATTCAAGGCTACAAGGAGAACTGGCCAGATCACATATACCAGTGTCTAGCTTGCGATGGCTACGAGCAACGAGGGAGTGCAGTCGGCATACTGGATTTTGATAATCCCGGATACGCACATATGGTCCAAATGGCAGTCCCTCTTGAACCTGTCTCAATTACCTTGTTTACCAACGGACCCATCAAGAAGGAAGCGCCAATTCAAGACGCTTTGAAGCTCGCAAAGGCTTTCGGTGCAACGCTCGACGAGCGGAAGATCGTTCGCATGGTGAACAACGGCCCAAGTCACATAGATGGCGTCACAATCCATTTTGAGACTGGAGAACCAGTCACTCTCGGTTTCCTCGTTCATAGACCCGTTACGGTCAATCGCGCGCAACATCTCATCGAGCAGCTTGGCGTCGAGACGGTGGATCCGGCGATGGGCGGACACATCAAGATCGCAAACACGATGTTCAACGAGACGAGCGTCAGAGGTGTGTTTGCAGGCGGTGATACTATGGTCATGATGAAGCAGGTTGCGATTTCTATGGCGGACGGACTCAAAGCTGCCGCAGGTGCGGGAATGCAGATTGCACAGGAGAAGGCTAAGACTTTGGCCAAGGCTTTTGAGGAGAGGGAGGGTACGATCGAGGGAGAGAAGGATAAGGTGGAGGTGGCTTCGTACTAGGAGGGAGGACTAAGCAATGACCATAAGTCGAAGAGGGCCCGATCTTGTAGTCTTGGGAATCAGTGGGGCAGGTAGAATGTAGTTTTTTTTTCCGTAAATCCATAATATATCAATCCAATGTTCATATGTTAGTCCAGTGGCTAGTCCGTACCCAGTACCTTCTTCAACCTCATCAAAAGCAGGAGCGTTCGCATCCAGCGCACCATCCCTCGAATACCCCTAGCACCCACGACACTTGCCACGTTTTCCACGCTCGCCATGTTCTTACTCTCAGATACCCACATGTTTCCTCTCGGCCTTCTTCCACGTTAAATTTCATACCGAAACCTTCCTACTCACTACAAAATCACTCAAACAATTCCAGTTATGTTTATCTCGCAAATTGCCGACCTCAAAGCCCGCATCAACGATCTAATTATCAAAAGCACATCCATACCTTCTTCCTCTTCCGAAACTTCTACCTCCGCGAGCAACAATGCCTGCAAAGAACCGGCGCCCCCGCCAAAATACGCTATCAAAAAACCATCGATACGCCTCTTCCCCGAGACACAAGCGCCACTGCCGACGATCAATGTGGTGACAAAGCACAGTCACGCGTTCAATAGCTCGAAAGCAGCAGGACTAGATAAACTAGGGCAGCTGCAGTTCGTTGAAATAGTCAAGGGATGGATCATCGGTACGTGCGCATGTAGTATCATCTACAGGTCTTCCTCAGATGGAACAAAAGAATGAAGCATGTTGAGAACCAGAAACCGACCAGCTAACAAGCCATCGGCAACTAGAAACTGCACCTCTTCTCATCACAGAAAGCTCCAACAACACTACTCGCTACAAGGTCATCTTCACCGCAAGGAAAGCACGTACTGAGATACACACAGCCCTTAGGTCAGTAACATCTACCACCCTCCACACTGCGAAACTATTCGCCGTCACACCAACTACATCCGGGAATAGCTGGAGGCTTGTTGAGCAAAGTACCGAGACGGATTCCCTGGTCGATGCGATAGACCACCTATGGGACAAAGCTATGCATAGGGTGGGCCGTTCGACTGGTAAGTCTCTCATATGTGTATATGTAGGGAGTGTGGGACGTCGAGTGCTGATACCTGGGCAATTGGTAGGTGTGATGGAAATTGGCGCGGTGGTGAAGGATGGTAAGTTGATAAAGGGAGGGGCGGAGAAGATTGAGAGGAAGAGTGTGGGGTGGTAAACCAAGCTAAGCTTTGGCGGGTATGAAATTGTTGGTTCGAGGATGGCCAAAATTATCCATTTCGCAAAGCGTGTCAGTAGCTTCCTTGCATATCCCAATTCCGTCACACAGCAAACAAATCTAGAGCCTACAATCTTCCCAACACCCTCAAATATCTCACTCCTCCTTCTTATGTATCCTCGGTAGACCCAACCAAAGCAGTAGAATCACGCCCAACAGCGCCAGAATAATCGGCTGTAGTACCTGTACACCCTTGGCTTGTGCGATAGCTCCAACCGCAAAAGGGAAGATGGCAGCGCCACTTCCGCCGAAAGCCGCCGCGAAGCCAATAGCGCCGACGTGTAGGTGACGCGGTAAGAGCTTGGTAGCTGCGACGACTACAGCCGGGAACAAGGGACCGAGAAAGAAGCCCTGGAGGGCTACGGCGACGGCCGAGACGTAGAATTGGGGGACGAGCCAGAAGATGAGTTCGAGGGCCATTGTGAGGGGGAGGTAGATCTGATGTATCCGAATTAGTGCATGTCAGACAAGAAAGAAGAGAGGAAGGAATGAAGAAACCAGAAACAAACTCACAGTAATAGCCAACTTCTCCCCCAACCTCGGCGTAACAAACCCGAGCACAATCCTCCCAACCGTAATCCCCATCCAAAACCCCGTCGCCACCATGCCACTCGCAAACTCCTCTCCATCCCTCACTTCAAGCATGAACTTGACAATCCAGCCACCTAGCGCAACTTCAATACCCACGTATCCGAGTAGGAAGAGTGCGCACAGCCACGTGACGCGTGCGTGAGGCAGACGGATAAGCGCTTCTTTCATGCGGTTGTCTTTCGTGCCGCTGGTGCGCGGGTTGGCTGCGCGGAATGCGGCGCCGGTTTCGCGCCAGAAGGCGGTTGTTGAGGTGGCGAGTTCGATGGCTGCCATTGCGATCTAAAGGTGTTAGAGATGGGGGAATGAGGAGGGATGAGGGAGGGGACAGTACCATGACGTAGTAGAAGGTGTACCAGGGTAGTCTGCTTCCTTTTGTGATCATAGTCGTTGCTATCAAGGGGGATAGAACGGCACCTACGCCGTAGAAGGCGTGGAGGAAACCGAGAACTTCGTTTGGGTTCGCCATGTTGCCGATCCAGGCATCTGTGGGTTGTATTGTCAGTCGAAATGTTCTGTCTTTCTGTTCTTCACCTTCTCTTTTATGGGAGCAGAGAAGAAGAGATTAGAATACTCACTCCACGCCGCATCAGCAAGTCCATTCCCGAACCCAGCCAACATGAAGATAATAACAAGCACCGGATACGGAGGGTGCACCGCAATAACGATATACGCGATGAGATGGCACGTCGGCGCTATAACCGCAACGCCTCTCTGGCCAAACTTGAGATGAATGCTATTGTTCAATAACGCGGAAGCTGTGTAGCCGACAAGTGGGGACAAAAACACTAGCGAGATGACGACGAAAGTCAGACCATAGTATTCTTGCAACTGAAATCGTTTGTTAGCACGCGCTTCTTTCCCCCTTCTCAAGAGTCGCGACTTCTACACTCAGAAGAACGACGTTGACTTACATAAGGAATCAAAGCACCATACGCCGCATCATTACTCCCCATAACGACAAAACTCCAAAACGCCGCCATAGTCTTGAACAAATTCGATCGTGGATGGTTCCATCGTTCCAATTTGGCTGGCGCTTGTGTCGTTGGCGACGGCAAATTCTCTATCGGATCGCTTTCCCTGGCACCTTTCGTATCCGAGAGTCGCAGGCCGCCTGTACTGCTCGAACTAGCGATCTGTGCATCTTGAGGTTTGGAGATATAGCTCGATACGTCTTGGAGTTCGATGGGCTGCTCGAGGCAAGTTGACGAGGTGCCGTTTTGGTGGTGCAGCGCCATTTTTGGGTTGTTGGGATGGCGACGGTTGACAGACTAGTTGCGACCTACTGTCATTCCAAGGGACGGTGTGGATGAAGAGGAAAGTTCGATGTTGAAGCTTTGGAGTCAGAGAGATATAAAAGCCAAGAGTAGCTGTAAAAGTAAAAAGGGCTGACGAGAGATACGCGCAGATACGAGCTTGACCCAACTCCTCCAAAGGCAGGTAGGTATGACGTTTTCCACCCTCAAGCTCAACAACCTCAATACCAAGAAGGGCGCACGACAAGACAACCACCACTCGACGAGGCCTTTATATCACTAATCTCAACTTCAGGCCCATAACCTCGCAGTCTCGCAACTATTACTCAAAGCAGCTGAAAACTGCGAGTAACCACTCCATCTAGACGATATCTTTTTAGCCACCGCCGACGTTCTCTAGCACACGCGCACAAGGCGGGGAATGAGTGGGATCCCCACACTTTGCAGCCGGTCCGACATACAGCTAATCAGCAGCGAGGTGGCTGGTGGATCGAACTGCCCGGGTGGCCAAAAAGGGAAGGGGACGGTTGATCTTCGGAAGGTGCGAACTTTCCGTGAGTAAACCGCCGCTAGGCATCTCGAAATTACTACAGTACAATTATGGCCATAACTAAAGCCTAGAGATCTGGTAGAGAGATGGAGTATGGCACCGCGCCTTCGCGAAAAGACACATATGTTTGCATGTCACGGCGTGTTATTAATCACATTGTTACGGACCAACTCAAACCCGACTAAGACCTCGCACCAAACCCAAAGCGTCGACAAAATGCGAGGACGCTGAAACCAACACAGTCACAGTTGCAAGACAACTAGTCGCGTCACTCTACGTCGCAAAAACTGTGACATGTCACTTGTATCAACCGCAGTTCCAGATGTGAAAATCGTTAATCGTTCTCATTTCATGCTATACCTGCTATTATTACCTCCGTTCTGAGCTGATTCGCGGAATCGACGCTCACCCGTTACCATGCATCCATCCATGCTGGGGGTATCCTGTTGTCTCTTCTCTCGTGCTCTCTGTCTCTCTACAACTGCCCACCACTGGCCACATGCTGAAAAGGAAAGAAAAGGAATAGGAAAAAAACCGTTCTTGAGATCAACGCTTGTATTTCAACGACTGTGAGGAAAGGTAAATCGTCCATATACACATACTCGCTTTCGACAGTCGCGCCCTTCGCTCCTGTAATGCTTCTGCTCGCGCCCACTGGCCCCTTGGTCGTTCAGCCCCTGTCTTTTCTCTTTTTGGAAATGATGATGATGAAATGGGAAAGACAATGCGTTCTGAAAGTTCGTCTCGTCATGTGGGTGAAGACGTCTATGAGGGCTGGATGACGGAGGGACCGGCAAGGACCTCGGCATCGGCAACGGACTCGCTCTTGGTGATCATCATGTAGACCTCTCCCTGGAGGCCCTGGGGAACCATGCAGTTGCCATCGGCGATCTTGGTGAATTGGTTGCCGCCACTGTGAGATGTTAGATTGTGAATCATTGTAAGGGAGTGTGTGGAGTGACTTACGGTCCGACGAAAGCGCAGAAAGAGGCACCGGCAGGCTGAGCGGGGTCGGCAAGCTTCAGGTTCTGGCCAACGGTAGCCTTCTCGGGGTTCTGGAGAGCGATGGCAGGGAAGGCCTGGATGTTGAGGTTGGAGCCTTCGGGGCAGGACTTGATGAACTGGGCGGCGAGGGTGAAGACGGCGCGGGGCTGAAGAGCAGTGTCGAAAGCGGCGGGGACGGGCTCGGCGCCGGATGCGATACGGATGAAGGCCTGGTGACGGGCCTCGACAGTGACGATGGAACCAGCGGCGGACAGGATGTCGGAAGAGTTGACGAGGGGAGCGGCACCGAGGTAAGCAGAGACACCGACAGCCTCAAGGACACGGGCAGTCTTGACCATGGAGTCGGCGCTGGTAAGGGCGGCGTCGAAGTTGTATTGGCATGGCTCGACGGGCTTTGCGCCGGCTCCTGCGATGGCGGATTGGAGAGTAGTGACGTGGGTGGCCTCAGTCTGTCCGACACCCATCAGGGACTTGACCTGACCTTCACTCAGACCGAGAGCCATGAAGTCGGACATGGAGAACTTGGCGAAACCCTGCTTGTAGTATTCCGATTCGAGATGCTCGGCGGTCAGAGCGCTGCAGTGACTGTTAAATCCAGCTCATTGTGATCGTTGATTCAAAGCTACTTACAAGTTGAGGATGTCGACATCGCTCAACATTCCTGCTGCGGCCGGTGCAGCTGCAGCCGGTGATGCGGCGGCAGCCTCGCTACCTCCAGCGGTCTCAGTGATGGCAGCTGGCGCAGAGGAGGTGGCAGAAGCGGCAGCGCTCGACATGGAAGCCATCTCTTGACGGGCGTAGTTTGCGGGGGCGGCAGCCACGAGAGGCGCCAGGGCAACGAGGCCCTTGAGGATGGTTGATACGCTAGGCATGTTGGTTGAATTAGGTTTGTTGGATTGTTTTCGAGTAGACAAGTTCGTAAAGAGAGACCGCCAGCAAAGACTTGCTTTGAATTCGATTATTAAAAATTGTCTAAAGTCCAACCAGGGACTGAAAGAAGGTAAACCGTAAGGAATGTGGTTGATTATTAGGTAGGAAGGTAGAAGAAGCTCGTTGATGATCCAACTGAAAACGAGTATGGAAACAAGGTGGGCGGCCAATGGACCTTATACAAGCAGCTGCAACTCCTGGGCACCATCTGAGACGCCATCTTAAAATTCGGAGTACGGATGTTGACCATGTGGCGGACGACTGCCTCCCGCTGGCGCACTGGCCTCCATACTGGATCCGTGACCCTACAAGCTTCAAAGCTTGGCAAATCGACCCATTGATCGTCCAGGAACTGCTCGCTAGCAGTGTAGCAACCGCTGAGGAAGCCCGGCTTGTGGCGATGGGGCTCGTGGTGCCGGCATGTGATGTAGCAGGTCCGGGGCCCTGCGACGCGAAACGGCTATCATGAAACCCTACAAGTGCCAACGCGTGCGCGGAGGCAGTAGAGCCGCCCTCGAGAAAACCTGGGTACCGTAATAGTGCATGGCGATTAATGGCGGTATTCTGACTTTCCGACCGGATCCGTGAGGTGGCTCACCATCTGAGGCTTGAAGCAGTCGGGCTCCTCATCTGTCATGACGCTGGTGGGGTGTGTTTCCAGCAGCGAAGAGCTAGCGAAACGTTTCAACATCAAGCTACTGGCCGTATTTCATAGCGCAGTCATGATTGTAAATACTTCTTTAAGGGTATCGTGGCGTCGTGAGCGCTTGCGTATTGCGCCGAGAGAACTATAGATGGGTTGGGGGGTTAAGAGGGGTGGCTGAGGCACCCAAAACGTCTTCACGTTGCCAAGCCTCATGGAGAACCACTGCTATTTCGGCTGCGGTTCAGGCCGTCAGGCTCTCGTTCGTTGCAGCAAACACATGCAGGTACACAGACCGCCTCTGACAGGGGATGGGAAGTCGCAGATCCGCTGGTCAAGATTCGGATTGCACGGCATCGACCTGATGCCGTATAGCGCGGCTTGTCACATTCGATCATGCCGAGGAGAGGTGTCACGATTCGGTATGTTTCCACCTCAAACCAACCAATCTTTGTCTGAGGCCGCGTTTCCAATGTAGTAATCAGGATGTCAATGAGGGGGCACACTGTTGCTCACTTCGTTGCCTTGTCGCCTTGTACGGCTCTTGAGCAGCCTTATGCAGGCCTGAACGAGATGTGGGGAGTGGGTGTCAATGCAGGCGGGTACCAAAAGAAACCAAAGTGAACTATGCATGGCCAGAGGCGCTCTCGCAGGGATAAACACATTACTGTACTACGGAAAATTACTGTGTATAAGAGCTGCAACGATATATCGCGACAGCCGATATCGTCGTCGCATACAAATAAACAATACACAGATCACCGTTCATCTCCTCCTGCACAACCTAGCATGTATCCTCCATTCAATTTTCTATACCAAGTCGACATAAGCTACCGAAAAGGACGGATACCAGGTCGGACTGAGAGAGACGTCTCGTCTACAAAGCGTAGGG